ACACAAAAAGAATTATTCAATTCGAACCAGAAGATTCGGAGATTAGTTCAAACAAACAAACTCTTCAGCTTTATAATATTAGTATAGATTTATTTGACACTATTTTAAAATTAGTAATCACAGGGGACAGACGACTTTTTTTTCAGTTTTATAAGCACCAGAGGGAAATGTGTTACCAGAAGAGTGACACTGTTGCCAGAGTAGTAACAAATCAAAGCAGGGTATTGTCACACCAATAATTATTAGCTAAGAAAGAAAGTTGATAAAATACAAATATACAACATGTAACGTAATTAACGCACACCCTCAAACACCCCAATTAGAATATAATAATATAAACGCAATGCATACACCAAATATTATTTATATGTGCGTTTGCATTTTTTATTTGTGAAATTAGTTATCCCAATTTCGTGCAAATAATATGGTCAGTTATTCACTAACACTCCGCTGCACACGCACTCACAGACAGATACAATGTACTCGCCGCGCCCGCGCCCCTCTCTCCGAGTGCCGTCCGACTATAATAAGAAGTAGGTAATAATAAGAACACAAAATAACTACATACATTATGAGTTATGATTTTTCTTTCCATCACACTTTTCAAGCTTTAGATTGTTGACATTGAATTTTCTTTTTAATGTGAAGCCAATATTTTATAATTACTGATTTGTTAAATTAAATTTGTAAATAAGAACGATTAAACAGCTGATAACGCGTGATTTGATTAGACACCACAATACCTACGACAAAGTCCGCGTTTTTAAATGGTGTGAATCAAAATATTAACAATAATTTAAAGATCATTAACAAACCTACAGTTTAATTTGCACTCGCACGGCGTTGTCGTTTCAAAACATTTTCAAAATGTCCACCGACTTGTTCAATGCACTTTAATGACCGTTTTCGCAATTTTGGTTTTATTTTAGATAATACTGCAGTGTCACTTTTCACTTTTACAAAGGCGGTTATTATCTTATTTTTTAGTTCCTCGACACTTGTTGTCTCTGTGTCATAAACTAGCGTCTTAATTCGCCCCCACAAAAAAAAGTCGAGTGGCGTCAAATCAGCTGTTCTAGGAGGTCAATGGACACGTGCGTAGGTATTTGATGTGTGCCGGCTGTCGCTGTGCGTGCGTAGATATTTGTAAAATACTATTTTAGCCTTGAAACAAGTATCAGTTTTCTTTAATTGAATGATGATTACTAATTTAATATTTCATTTTAAAAATCTTAATACTCTGACTTACGATCCATTTCCGTTTCAATGAAGTGTTTAGGTAACTATGTGTAGGATGACTGTAATTTACTTAGTTCTATCTAAATTTGAAAAAAAATGACCTTCATAAAAACTATAAAAATCCATCCAGATTCCGATTCTGAACAAACTACTTTCAGGGTGTGCGTTAATTATGTTAAGGTCGATTTACATTAAACGAGCGAATGCTCTATCTATCCCCACTACATCAAATTCATCTAGTGTATAAAGCATAAAACAGGCGTAGAGCATTCTTTCATTGTTCTTGGTGCGTTCGCAAAGATTCTATAGAATATTCTGAGAATGCTCGCTCGCTTGATGTAAACGGCGCAAGAGCGCACGAACAGTTGGCTAGAGCGTTCTAGCGTGTTCGGACGTGCTCGCGCCATTGAGCGGTTGCATCAAAGCGTTCTTGTGTTCTAGCGATTGTTTACGTATTTATTTATTTGGTTTTCGAATTTTTTCACTTGTCAGACATAGTAAATGATCAAAATCGTCTGGCGCCATTCTACAAAAGTTTTGGAATTGTTCACTTTCTTCTTGTTTTGGCATATTCGTCATAGTTTCACCTACATTATCCAGTATCCTTCGATGCATTAAATTTGTAACCCACCAACGTCTCTTCCTTCTTTTATTTTTGAGTTTTTGCGACAAAACAATAAATGCAGCAATTGCAATAATGAGTATACATTTTTAACTACATATTTTAAATTATATAATTATCGTGAATAGTCTTTGTGGGCCAGATAAAATGCCATGTTCTTTATTGTTTAAGCATAGCGAGACAATGATATAATAAGTTTTACATAAAATTTTCTATAGACCAATGGAATTCAAATATCGTATATTCACCCATAAATAAATAATTAATTTCTTAGTCTAACCTCATAACGAATACCCATTGACTTCCTGGTACTTAACAACGCCATCTGCTGTTGTGTCGTTAAAGCAATTAGTAAAAGCAAGTAGCAAAAAGTAGTATTACTATTCGCAAAATAGATGTCAGGAAGAGTCATATTTTAAACTACTTTTTGTATTATTTTTTTTTATAAAAATGATTCCTGGCTATATCGATTTATCGCCCCGAAATCCACTAGATACTAAATTTCATGAAAATATGTATATATATGTAAGAGTTGCTCGTTTAAATATATAAGATAAGATACTAATCTGTAAAAAAAGTCGAAGGATAATACATACAAAAAAGAAATGTTTATTTAATATTTTTTTATTTAGAAATAGCAAAAGAATAAAATATAATTGTCATAAAAATACAGAAATAATTGAAGAATAACAATTATGTATCATAACACTGATTTTTATTTGTATAAACAGCTTCTTGAAAAGCTGAATTCAATCTATTGATTATTGGCACATTTTTTGCACGATAAAATAACCAAAGAAAATAATACGAAAAATCTTCAAAGGGGAAATCAAATAAATAATTTATTAATAGTTTTGTGTATAAGCAGATTTCCCATTCAAATAATTTTCGTGACTTAAATCTATTTTGAATGCTTACATATATTATGGCATTTTATATTGACAAAAATTGCGTTTGTTTATTGCGAACATAAAATATAAATTAGGTAATTATTAATATTTTTCTATATAAATACAAAAATATCTCAATACTGATAGAAAAGAAAATCATTTGCAATTTAAGCCTCTTCTGACTTAATGTGTACATAACACATGATATTTTAATAAAATTTGTCTATTCATTAAATATATCAATAATTTAAAATAAATAACCTATAGATATAAAAGCTAAAATGTCACTGGATTCGTTGTTAAAAAAAATTTGGTAACTTTCTAATGTTTTTGTCGAATTTTTCTAAATTTTGTGTGACATCTCGCTTTTTATGGGCAGTCTTCACAGGGAGTCGAATTCAGATACGTCACTGGTCTGAAAAAATTAAAAAAATATTTGTATGAATGATTTAAGAAAAAAGAAAATGTAGCATAAAGAAATACACAGATAGGACTGACTAGAACAATAGATAAGTGAGAAAAAAATTAAACCTATAGAGATGAAACTTCTCATGATTCCATATGTTCACGGTGCGTGTGTCGGGTCCATCGTTGTAGTGAGAGGAGCTTCAACAGTGACTGGGACTCGTGACCCAGGTGTAGGTTTAAGAGGGCCTTATCTAAAGAGCGTTGAATGATCTCCTCCACTGTACAAGCTCCTCTCTCTACCAAATTTAAAAGAACCTACTAGGGCTGTCTTGAAGTATGATCCAAGAACAAATTTATGTTGATTATGGACAAGCCCAAGTCTTTTATAACAATAATAATAATTTATTTTGTCTCAGACATAGTCCATAATTTAATTTTAGTATTACATGGCAACCTTAAAACTATTGTTAGTAGAAACAAATAATAATAATAATAATAATAATAATAAAGTGTTTTAGTAGTGAATCAAACCGTTAGTTGTGTAAGTGCAATACCCACAAGGTCTGGTTTATAAAGGTGCACGTGAGGCAGAAGAAAAGTGGAGCCTAAGTCTCGTTCAGCCATCGTGTTGGCTTCCTATAAGATAACATTAACATTACATAAATATATGAAACAAGATTAGTGCGAGGGAAGTAGAATATTATACGAGTATAATATTAATACCTGATGCGTGAGTCTTGTTGATGAAGCAGCTCTGCCAGTGCTCGCTGGAAGAGTTCCTCCGACCGATCTAGCTTCAGATAAAGTCCTGGGAATAATTCATTATTACTTATTTGACGAGGTAACTGTTTGGTCTATACATATATTTTAAGCAATATAAAACAATATTAAGTTTATATTATACCATTTCTGTTTCAATAATTATAGTTTTTTTATTAGAGATGGAAAACTAATATATTTTTGATAATCAGCATTTTTTCTTACATGTAATGAAAGTGGAACTAAAAATATTTTAGGATGGAAAAATATTACACATACATACATATATACTAAATACTTACAACTCCCCAATACGACGTTCGGCATCCGTCCATTCTGACATATCTTCTTGACTAAAAAATCAAAATTTTGTGAAAGCAATTCCATAGGAATCCGATGATTCAAGGAAATTATAAGATAGATATAAAAACATCGGAAATCATCGCGTAACAAAAAAAAAGTAAAGCTTTGATCTTTGGATAATCGACAAAACATTCCACATTTTTTTCCTTACTTTATATTTTCCATTGGAAGGCTGTATGACAATTGAGACTCGACGTTTAAAAGGAAGTATTGTAAGTATATATGTACATTTACTTTAAAAATTATAATTTCAATTTAATAATTAAATATATACATAGCTTAAATTTGATAATAATTTTTGTTTTCAATTTAAAATGATATTTTCTTATATTTTCATTCTAATTTTATTTATTATTGAACGAAAGGGTTAAAAACTATAACATAATCTTTTAAATTTTGTTTTCACAGTAACAAAACCATTAAAAATCTTTATCTTTGAATAAATTGGTATCTGTACCCTTAAAAATACTTCGCTTTGAAAAAGAGTCCATTGTCACTTTGTAGTATGATTTCTTAACTAAGATAATTATTTCATTATCTCCCAAGCAAATACTTATCTACAAATACATTATATTACCTATAAGACTTCCGTAGTGTGTCGAAGCGTGACAGCTCTGCTTCCAAATCATTTTTGTTGATGGACGAAGCGTCGTCTCTATCACATTTAATTGAGTTCTCATCTGGACGAATGGTCGTTGACACTTTATAACCAGCTGACACTAGTGCACCTGGAATTAACATTAATATATATAAATAAAAATAACATTAGTATAAAATAACAGACATCTTTGTAGACTTTTCACATTTGGATAATTAATTTATGGAAACGAATTAATTATTATTCCAGTGCTATAATTTGGTCCCTAGACCAATTATACCCGATTGAAACTATTATTCAGTTTAAAGAAACTTATTCCTTTAACAATGGCCCATACTCTTCCTACAAATATTTATTTATTTGTTTTGTAACAAAATAGTCTATTTTTTTTTAAATACCATACCTTGTTTATTTCCTCTCTCTTTGTTTACACTGTACGAAGATTCAACGCTGTGTTTTCTTCGCATCTGAATAACAAAATTGTCATAAATTATGATAAACAAGTGTTAGAGGTTTTCATATTAATTTTTACAGGGTGACTGGTGAATTACTATCGATACTTGAGGACGTGATATTTGACGATCATATATGACAAAATAAAAATTAATATAACATAAATATTAATAAACTTCTAAGTAAAGTTAACCAAAAGTTATGAAATTAATTACGCATCGTGTGAACACCCTACAGATTAGGTATACACACACACACACACACACTCGCGCGTGGCGGCGTGGTGTTGTATCAGCACGCCGCCGCACGCGTCCACACTTGGAACACTTGGAACGTGTCCACACTTTATTTATTTATACGGAAATTTGGTCAAAAATTAAGTACCTATTTTTTTTACATAATTCGAATGAGAATCATGTACCGAGTATTCTCCTTAAATATTGATAGTAATTCACCAGTCACCCTGTATATTATAATATATGACGAGCATCTAGTCGCATCAAATATATTTCTTTTCGTGTATTCGTTCATTATAATTGTTTTCAAGACAGCCACTTCATCGACGACGCAAATAATATTGGCAATATAGAATTAGCAATACACAATTGCAATACAAAATTCACCATATAAAAGTCCAAGCATAATCACACTGAATTCGTTCTACATTGCTCTTATGAGCCACTGTAGTAGACTCTCTTCTATATAATTCTTGACATTCATTGTTAGAATTTGTTAGCAAACTATCATTTTGAGGAAAGACAATCTTTGCTTCAAATGAGAACCCTTTTAAGGAACTAGGTCCTTGGTCTTATTAATTTTATTTAAGACTTTTTATATATATTTCAGTATATATTTATCTGTACTCACCTCTTGCGTGTTCGTTGTTCCCGACTCCAAGTAACTGATAAGCTTAGCTTCATTACATACTTCGCTGCTCTTCCTACGTGACAAATTATCACGACTGTGGAATAATATTAGATCTATTATGAAAAAATGTACTTTAAATTAAACATAATCAAATATAATATAATCATCATCATAAATACTTAACACATTAATCAATATTACAAATACAATTACAAGAATATTAAACAATCCTATACTCGTATATACATATTTTATGTTATATCTCATAAGTATTTTAAGTTCCTATACATTAATATAAATAATTTATATAATTTTTTAAACATAATATACAAATAATAATCTAATCTATCAACACATAAATCTTCAAGTCATTACTTGTATATTTCCTTATATAACGTTTGTTCTTATCCCTACCAAGTGTTATGTGTTCCTTATACATGTAGCATGTTGTTCATGGTACCTGTCATGTAGTGCATGTAATCTCGCTCGAGGTATCATGAGGGCTGGCGGCGGGGGAGGGGAGTGTCCAGGAGGCTCCTGGGCCTGCTTACTGTGTGATGTACACCGGGACTACAATAGAATAGAATACAAGTAAAATATACATACATATAGAATACACACTTCATGAACAACGAGGATGATTCAAGATTGAAGTTACACAAGAAGCTTCACATGAAACATTAATTAAGTTTAAATTGTATTTGTAGTAAATATAAAATAGTCTCTCCGTCTAAGATATGGAAGATGGAAATTTTGTTTAATCAAGTGAGGTTATAAATCATGAGTGTTATGAAAAGCAACTGGGAGTTAAGAAATAATGTGTAAGAATTCTTGTGGTGACTATTGAATATTTAATTCATCATATTTTTTCCTTACTTTTGATGGTACATAAGGCAGTGAAGCATTCTGTACGCTACAAGTCTCTGCTTCATTTCTTTCTGCAATCAATGCTCGTCTATCAGCTCTTTGCTTTGATGGTATGTTGCCCTGTAAAAGAAACTTATATTGAATTTATACTATAACTGACGATCTTCTACCTGGAAACTTTCTCAGCTTTAGCCAGGGTCTGCCTTACGTGTTGTGAATAGTTTTGGCTAATTGTTCTTACGAATGGCTGCCTGCCTGACATCAACCCTCTTTGGGAATGCATTAATCAGTGATATCTAAATACTCTTAGAAAGTACAGATGACTCGGAAAAATCACATTGCTACTTCCCAGAGCCAGGATCGAAACCACGCCCTCTTGCATGAGAGGCGGGCCTTTCAACCACTAGGCCACCACTGACTTTAACTAATGATATTGTTTACAAATTTAATATGTATAGCTACTATAATTTTTTGCATAATGTTTTGTATGAAATTTTATATACATATATATTACCTGATGTAAAGTTGGCATTCCCTGCATGCAACCAATAACAAATGTTTGATTCGTAGGATTCTTCTGACTGCAGCATCTTTTCGAGGCCCAGATGGTCACCACTATGATAATCAACGCTCCTACTACAGTGACTGTTATCAATACAGCTGAAAATGAAACACATTCGGTATAAGTTTTATGTTAAATTACATAACATTTGACATAAAAAACCATTCAGAGATAAATGCTGCATGTTGAAATTATTCCTTTATGGATAGGTAATATTAAATTCAAAATAAGAACAATTTATGTTAATCTCGTCATATTTTTTTTCTTTAAATTACCAACATTTTTTAGAGATAGTGAATAGTAGTAGTTCTGATATGGAAGCCTGTAGTACAATTTATAGTTTGGTCGCTCCAGATTACTCAAGTCTCATATGTCTCTATTTACCTTTCAGATTGACCTGACAAGTTCGGCCCGCGTACCACTTGAAACATTCACATATCATCGCGTTCTCACGATCGAAGCAGGTACCATGATAGTTGCAGCCCGCACAGCCTATTGCGTCAGCTGAAAGTTTTTATAAAAAATTACAATTTAAAACATAATCGTGTAATTATCTGTACAAGTTTTATTATCGTTGGAAATCTCACAACGCTTTCAAAGTCAAATTACATATAAGGGTTATGTTTTGATGTCTAAAACACCCCATATATTTCGTGCGACAGAGTAGCAAATGAAATCGACTTACAAGAACATATCCTTCCAGGGTATAGAGTGTTGACGCTAAGGTCTGCAAAACCTTCTAAACAACTACAAGTGTAAGTTCCACGAAGGTTGAAACAGCGTGAGTGTTCGGAACAGTCATTGAATTGACTACTTGTGCATTCGTCGAAATCTGAAAAAATTCAAATGCTTCTTAGATTTCTATACAGTAAGAACAGTGGCGTAGACAGAGATTTGAGGTAGGGTAAGCAGAATATGTTTGAAAAATAAAATACCAATTTTCATCATTATTCATTTCCTCCGCTAAAATATTGATAATAATGATATCTTTCACAAGTAGTGATTTAAATTTTAAATGAAACTAATATTTTTATTATTGTTAACGGGCAGACGAGATGTCTGCCGTGATTACGATTGCTGCACAGTAATCGAAACTTCGGGAGTATGTAGTTTTTAAGCCTGAGCCACGAAAGTACCTTAAATCTGTTCACCACAGCTTTATAAAAGTTATTTAAATAGGAATATCAAAAATAATAACAAATATTCTTAGTATTAACTTTTGAAAATAACAAACAAGGCAAACAAAATAACTTATTTGTGTGTACACAGCCTGCTAACTAATTAAAACTATCAAAATACTTTTTTTAAAACGAATAACATTACCTTTCGTTTAGTTCAACACACTTACACACCTTGACTTTACACTTATTTTAATTTTATTACTAAACGACAATATTGAAATCAACTCGTAACTAATTTCAATAAACATATACCACCAGCACAGCTATAATTATACACAATTCGTTAATAAATTAATCCACTGTTTACTAATTAAAACTTATTCACTTGCGCTTGGAAAGACAAATAACAATATTCAAAAATAATAAAATGGCGAAAAAACATATGAACAGTTTACCGACCAATCAGAGTGTCCCATTTCATTTGACAATTAACGAACGAAGGGAGTTGCAGCGGCCTATTGAAATTGTTTCGTTTTTACATTGATAGATATCATTATTAAAAAATCATAAATCAAATATCGTTTTAAATGTCTGTTCACATATGTAATTCGTAATGTATGCTAAAAATATATAAGTAAGAATTAAACAATATAGGTTTAGTAATTTAGTTGTTATATGGGTCGGATATGCAGTGATTATTTACATCTATGGTGTGCACGCCACTGAGTAATAACACAGCCAAAGTAGTGTTTGTTGTAAATTTTCTGTATTTAGGTATAATTAACTGACTTGAGAGTGTTCACTTACCACTGACATTAAGGCTCTCAATAAATTCTTCAGATGCATAAATTTCTGTTCCACCAAGACTATAATTATTATTCCGTAGATATTTCTCTATAACTTCCTTCAGTCTGCTTTCATGAGCGTTATCGGAAAGCTAAAGAATAATTCGTTTAAGTTAAGCTGCAAACAACATATTTCAAGTCTTTACTGAATGGTTACCTGAACGTAGAAATCATTGATAACTCCCTCATATGCGCCGTCTTTTGTTCTCATCTCAATAGGATGGAATCCTGTTATGTGGACTCCGTGATAAACATCCCGTAAGTCTGATTGCATTATCATTCTATTTATTCCTTCATGAGTAGCCAATGACAAACTCTCATACTCTTTAGTAGAATTGTCCGATAAATTCTTATGGAATTTGAGCACCTTGTTGTCTCTAGATCCTAGTCCTAATCTTACTGAGTACGTGTATGTTGCTAAAATTGAGCACATATAAAATATTATGTTGAAATAGTTAAAATACTAACTGGTTTTGTATTTTAGTATAATAAAAAATAGTAATATCTTACGTTTACACGGTCGATCTGGGAACATTCTAGCGAAACCTGGTCTACACACGCACTTCATAACACTATCGATCCTTTGGCACCTTTCATTTCTCGAAGCTTTACAATCTGGTTGACATTCTTTACCATATCCTATATAAGTGAAAATTTACTCTTTAAAATAGAATATAGCATAAAATTTAAGCGACAACTAGTAAATTAGTTCTAAAGCAATTTATATTTAACCAGTTAATACTTGCCTGTTGGATGAACAACATTAGTCGTTTCTAGGTACGGCGTTCCCGCGAGCAATATTTCACCGAACAACACCTGTGATACTCCATTATTAGTCACTTGTTCGTTCCTCGTGACCCCATCATAGTCACCAGCCTCTATATCAGTGTTAATAGGGGGTGACTTACCACCATTTTGTGATTTATTCATCACAACAAAGAATGTGTCATTGTCTTTCTCTTCGTCAGTTTCTATTTTTTGAATATTTTCAGTTACATCATCGTCTCTGATTATAAAGTTGTCTCTTTCTTCTGAAGACATAGATATATCATCTAGAGCCACAATCTTGGTGTTTGGAATTGAGTTTATTACGGAAGTCGGTTCAACTTTAACTTGAACTGGAATGTGTTTGGTTACTGTTTCAACTATAGTGGTAGGCTGAACTTGAGTGAATATTTCTGTCACAACATCTACCACAGTAGAAGTGTGTGTATTAGTAAGAACCAGTGTTTCAGTAACAGCTCCTTCCGACTGACTAACTAAACTGGTCTTAGTATGTGTTACAGTTAAAGTATGCGTTAAGTTTAAGTAACCAAAGCTGGAAATAGTCTGAGGTGGTTCCGATAGTGTCTTTGTTAAAGTGATAATCGTTGTCTTAAATTCTGTTTTAGTTGGTATAATTTCATCTGATATTTTTATTTCGTTACCAGAGTGATGAGCTGAATGTAAATGAGTATTCGACGGTTCTTCCCTTAAAGTTAGAGTAGATGTCACGGTTTTTTCGATTAAAGAAACTATTTCTGGCACTTTAGTTTGAACGTTAGTTTCTTGGAGTACTTGAGTTGGACCAAATATAAAATCATCTTCAAGTATGGATTCAGAACTCTCTATAATATTAGTTGGTGCTATATTTTTAGAAGGCAAAGGTCGTGCAATCTTTCGGATGGATGTTTGTCTTGTTGGTGCTAGCTCTGGACGATATAAAGTTTTGGTTGGCCTGATTGTAACACTAGTTTTAGATGGATGTTTGAACTTATTAGTATTTAGTTTCTTGTTATCACTATTGAATGGGTAAGGTTTTCGAGTTCTATTTGTAATTCCAGAAGAAACAATTTTGCTTTTTCTGTGGTAGGATTTTGTTCACTTGATTCATACTTAACAATAAAAATTGGTTTCGATATTTGCACAACTTCTGATAAAATTAGATAGATAGGTACAAAATGTATTATTATATATTGGTTTTCACGATCAGCATCACTGACGGACAGTATAATCTCGATCTAAATTAATACCATTTAAAATATAAATATTTTTAAATGAAACTTCATTTTAAAATAACACATAATAATTTTATATACGTTCAACGATGTTTAGATTTTAATTTAGTTGATTTGATCGTCGTCGTCCTCGGTATTTAGGAATAATTAGTATTGTTTTTTTATTTTATTTCGATTAGGTATTTTTAAGTGAACACGTTAAGAAGACACAAAACAATATAAGGGTGAACATCGACATACATATACTAATGGAATAGAGATGAGAAAGACTAAAGGGCCTTAGAGTTGAGAATTGTGACACTCCGAAAGAAAGAGAGGAAACGATGTTTCGGTCTATCTTTATCTCTCTCAAAATAGTATCGTACTTAAGACGTTATGAGCCCCTTCTGGATAATTTGTATGCCGTGCTTGTCATGAAAACTGAGCGCCAATCATCTATGAGGAAAGAGATAGTGCTAGACCGAAAGCATAGGCCATCTCTCTCACTCTTTTCAAACCAAAAAAATACTGCAGATTATACGCGTACGGCAAATCCATTAGTATATGTCCATGAGGGTAAATATTCGTTATTTGTTTTTTTCGTGTCCCAGAAGGAAATGTTATCGGTTCCATTCAAAATTTATAATTTATTTATTTGACACTATTTTAAAATTAGTAATCACAGAGGATAGACGATTATTATTTTTTTATCAGATTCTTAAAAGCACCAGAGGGAAATGTGTTACCAGAAGAGTGACACTGTTGCCAGAGTAGTAACAAATCAAAGCAGGGTATTGTCATACCAATAATTATTAGCTAAGAAAGTTGATTAAATACAAATATATATGCTTACCAAAGGAAATACTCCAACGACTGGCATAAAATTACTTTCAGAAAGTTTATTGAAAACTGATCAAATTTTTTAAAATTTTGTTTAAATTATTTAGCTTGCCTCTAATTTGGAACTGTTTTTCGCCCGTTATTTAAGATCAAAACCACAAACTTGTGATTTTTAAGTCTGAATTCGGCCAGATGAAGTGACAGAATTGTAACATGACTCGAAAATAAGTTTTATTATTTTATATTAATAAAAATTTTAAGTCTTAATTTTGTTAAAATATGTTTCGATGTTTATTAAAGCGTAATACCACATTAAATAAAAAAACATAATTGTGTACTTTTTGAAAGTATTCAGCCATAAGATCATTTTAATTCATAAATGGGATGGCCAGAGGAGTATACATTTTTAACTATTTTAAATTATATAATTATCGTGAGTAGTCTGTGTGGGCCAGATAAAATGCCATGTTCTTTATTGTTTAAGCATAGAGAGACAATGATATAATAAGTTTTACATAAAATTTTCTATAGACCAATGGAATTCAAATATCGTATAATATTCACCCATAATTAATTTCTTAGTCTAACCTCAAAACAAATACCCATTGACTTCCTGGTACTTAACAACGCCATCTGCTGTTGTGTCGGTAAAGCAATTAGTAAAAGCAATTAGCAAAAAGTAGTATTACTATTCGCAAAATAGATGTCAGGAAGAGTCATATTTTAAACGACTACGTTTTGTATTTTTTTTCAATAAATTAACATTTTCTAAAAATGATTCCTAGCTATATCGATTTATCGCCCCCGAAATACTAAATTTCATGAAAATATGTATATATATGTAAGAATTGCTCGTTTAAATCTATACTAATATTATAAAGCTGAAGAGTTTGTTTGAAAGCGCTAATCTCCGAAACTACTGGTTCGAATTGAATAATTCTTTTTGTGTTGGATAGTCCACTTATCGAGGAAGGCTGTAGGCTATATAACATCACGCTACGACCAAAAGGAGCAAAGATATAGTTGTAAATGTGTAAAAAACGGGAGAAATTATTTCATCTTTGAAGCCTTCCGTTGCGTGCGCCGTGAAAACGGTTCAAGATACACAAAAAATGTGTTAAAGAATAATAGCTCTTTTAATGATCTAAAATACAGTCCGCGACAGTATATGTCTATCTTTTAAGATTAACTCACAAAAACCGTTTTTATGAGTACCTAATTTGGTCGAAATATTTTGTTTAAGTTGTGTCAACATAATAATATTAATCTTTATTCAAATAAACAAATAAATATGTTGTTGGTTAAGAGTACTTCATTAAATGAATTAAAAAAAAATAGGTTTTATCCTGAAAATTCTACGGGAACTCGACCATTCCGAAAACCCCGCAAGAACGGGAACTATGTGGGAAGAACCAAAAATCTGCCGAAAGTCACTATTCCACGCGGACGGAGTCGCGGCAAAAGCTAGTATATAAGATATGATACTAATCTGTAAAAAAGTCGAAGGATAATACATACAAAAAAGAAATGTTTATTTAATATTTTTTTATTTAGAAATAGCAAAAGAATAAATTATAATTGTCATAAAAATACAGAAATAATTTAAGAATAACAATTATGTATTAATACACTGATTTTTATTTGTATTCCACAGCTTCTTGAAAAGCTGAATTCAATCTATTGATTATTGGCACATTTTTTGCACAATAAAATAACCAAAGAAAATAATACGAAAAATCTTCAAAGGGGAAATCAAATAAATAATTTATTAATAGTTTTGTGTATAAGTAGATTTCCCATTCAAATAATTTTCGTGACTTAAATCTATTTTGAACGCTTACATATATTATGGCATTTTATATTGACAAAAATTGCGTTTGTTTATTGCGAACATAAAATATAAATTAGGTAATTATTAATATTTTTCTATATAAATACAAAAATATCTCAATACTGATAGAAAAGAAAATTAATTGCAATTTAAGCCTCTTTTGACTTAATGTGTACATAACACAATATTTTAATAAAAAATTATCTATTCATTAAATATATCAATAATTTTAAATAAATAACCTATAGATATAAAAGCTAAAATGTCACTGGATTCGTTGTTAAAAAAATTTTGGTAACTTTCTAATGTTTTTGTCGAATTTTTCTAAATTTTGTGTGACATCTCGCTTTTTATGGGCAGTCTTCACAGGGAGTCGAATTCAGATACGTCACTGGTCTGAAAAAATGAAAAAAATATTTGTATGAATGATTTAAGAAACGAAATTAATGAATGTAACATAAAGAAATTACACAGATAGGACTGACTGGAAAAATAGGAAAGTGAAGAAAAATTTAAATTACAGAAACGAAACTTCTCATCATTGAATGTATTCACGGTGCGTGTGTCGGGTCCATCGTTGTAGTGAGAGGAGCTTCAACAGTGACTGGGACTTGTGACCCAGGTGTAGGTTTAAGAGGGGCTTATCTAAAGAGCGTTAAATGATCACCTCTACTATCCAAGCTCCTCTCTCTACCAAATTTAAAAGAACCTACTATTGCTGTCTTGAAGTATGTTCCAAGAACAAATTCATGTTGATTCTGGACAGGCCCAAGTCTTTTATAACAATAATAATGATAATAATTTATTTTGTCTCAGACATAGTCCATATTTTAATTTTAGTATTACATGGCAACCTTATAACTATTGTCAGTAGAAACAAATAATAATAATAATAATAATAAAGTGTTTTAGTAGTGAATCAAACCGTTAGTTGTGTAAGTGCAATACCCACAAGGTCTGGTTTATAAAGGTGCACGTGAGGCAGAAGAAAAGTGGAGCCTAAGTCTCGTTCAGCCATCGTGTTGGCTTCCTATAAGATAACATTAACATTACATAAATATATGAAACAAGATTAGTGCGAGGGAAGTAGAATATTATACCAATATAATATTAATACCTGATGCGTGAGTCTTGTTGATGAAGCAGCTCTGCCAGTGCTCGCTGGAAGAGTTCCTCCCACCGATCTAGCTTCAGATAAAGTCCTGGGAATAATTCATTATTACATATTTGACAAGGTGACTATTTTAGTTCAAACATAATCTTTAAGCAAAATAAAACAATATTTAGTTTATATTATACCATTTCTGTTTCAATAATTATACGAGTAGTTTTTTTATTACAGATGGAAGATTAATATATTTTTGACAATCCCCATTTTTTCTTACATGTAATGGAAATGGAACCAATAAATATTTTAGGATGGAAAAAATATTACACATACATACATATATACTAAATACTTACAACTCCCCAATACGACGTTCGGCATCCGTCCATTCTGACATATCTTCTTGACTAAAACATCAAAGTTTTGTGAAAACAATTCCATAGGAATGCGATGATTCAAGGAAATTATAACATAGATATAAATAACATCGGAAATCATCGCGTAACAAAAAAAAAGTAAAGCTTTGATCTTTGGATAATCGACAAAACATTCCACATTTTTTTCCTTACTTTATATTTTCCATTGGAAGGCTGTATGACAATAATAATTGAGACTCGACGTTTAAAAGGAAGTATTGTTAGTTTATATGTACATTTACTTTAAAAATTATAATTTCAATTTAATAATTAAATATATACATAGTTTATATTTGATAATAATTTATGTTTTCAATTTAGAATGATATTTTCTTATATTTTCATTCTAATTTTATTTATTATTGAATGAAAGGGTTAAAAACTATAACATAAACTTTTAAATTTTGTTTTCACAGTAACAAAATCATTAAAAATCTTTATCTTTGAATAAATTGGTATCTGTACCCTTAAAAAGACTTCGCTCTGAAAAACAGTCCCTTGTCACTTTGTAGTATGATTT